ACTTAAAAAAAACGACATACAAAAAGTGGTTAAAACTAGGAGGTCGGTCAGCCAAGTCTCTTCGAATCCAGAGATTCTCACCTTCTGTGACATGTCCTTGCTCAGCTTGTACTTGGTGAAGAGGAGAAAGGTTGGCCGTGACAGATCTAGCTCAGCCAGAGTGACATTTTATCAAACAAAGATCAAACCACAGCCTTTCTGCTCTCTGCTCAGGGCCCTCTGGTGGTTTTTTCTCACATTCAGATTCAGACCCAAGTTTCTAACTGTGACCAAGTAGGCGCCATATCACCTGAATGTCTCTCTGTCTTTGCAGTCTCTCTCCCTTACCCACCACCTCACTGGCCTACTCTGCCCAGAACAGGCCAGCTGCATACACTCCTCTGAGTCTCTGCCCTTGCAGCCTCCTCTGCCTGGAATTCCTTTCTCCACACCACTGGCTGGCTCATAGCTTTGTCAGTCATCTCTGCTCAACTCCCACAGCCCCAGACAGGCCACCCCCATCTCCAGCTCTCTAATGGGGGCACTGGTGGTTCAATAGTCGAATTCCTGCCTTCCATGCGAAAGAACAGGCTCTATTTCCAGACAATGCACCTCATGCCCAATCCCCACCTGGCTTTTGGTAGAAGCCTGTGTGTTTCTGGGATGCTGAAAGGTTTCAGCAGAGCTTCCAGTAGATGGACTAAAGAGAAAGGCTGTATAGATTGCAATCATCTGATCTTTACCTGGTCCTGGGAACAGTATGGGATGGAGAGCAGCACTGTTCATTATGCCTGAATGGCCATGGGTCAGGGGCGGACTCAAAGTCAGCTAGTGGCTCCCACAACTTTCTATATCACAACCCAACTTGATTTTTGTTGATGGCCCAGAATCTGTCTATATATTCACATGTCGTGTTTTATCTCAAACTTAAAAATGAAAGTTCTGTCAGGTAGGGACCTAGCCTGCCTTGTTCATTTTTCTGGTGCCAGTTTCTAGAACAACTGGTAGGCTCAGTCAGTGAGTGCTGCATGATCGATTAAATGAACGAATGAGTAAATGTTTTTGCTCCCTTGGGCAGGGAGTGGTGCGGCACCTTTTTCTGCCCAGGGCCATTTGAATATTTATAATATCATTTGTGGATCATATGAAATTAGCAACTGAAAAATTAACCTGGTATTGCTGGCCAAACGGTTAATCAACTCACCCCTCATATGTTGGCTAGAAGGGCTTCCCTTTGGTGAGGCGTGTGACGTTAACTGGTGTTGATGATGTCCCTACCGGGCCAGGAGGCCAGATATTCTCTACCCCAACCTAAGGAGTCCCTGGGTGGTGCCAACAGTTAGCTTGCGCAGCTGATAAATGAAAGGCTGGGGGGTTGACTCCATGCAGGGGGAAAGCCTGGCAATCGACTTCCACCAAATCAGCCCTTGCAGGCCCCCTGGTACAGTTCCACTTTGGCATTCATAGGGCTGACTCAAGTAAGAATTGACTCAATAGCAATCAGAGAAGAAAGCTAGATAAGCTCATGGCGCCTTCGGAGTTGGCAAGTGGCTGGGCTGCTCATTCAGAGCTCTGCACGCAAATCCTTCTGTGAGGGAAGGGTACTCACATGTATCTCCACGTCACCAGCAAGGGTCCTGCTGTTCCTTAGGAACTCGGCCACCATACTCTTCATCAGCTTATCAAAGGCTTCCACAGAGGGGGCCACGCCTTTGGAAGAGGAATCTATAGTTAGTCCCTGGAAGTTCCATGGAAAGGGGGAGCTGCCTGGCCATGGTAATGTGGAAGAGTGATATGACCACTCTCATCTTCTGTCTATACAATAAGTCATTCACTCACTCCGTCAATGAGTGAACTTTTTAAAAAACACTTTCCTCTGGCTTAGGAAAACATGGCTTTCCTATCTTCTACCCTTTGCGATACACACTTCCACCTGCCTCATTTCATTTAAATGTCCCCTCCAAACCCAGTGAGGTCAGGAGCACCCTCAGAATTTTACAACGGGGGCAGTGGAGAGGCAAAAACAGCGAGTGACTTGAGGGAAACTACGGCAGATCCCACATGGAACTCATTTTTATTTATTTTTCATTATTATTTTAAAAATCATTTTATTGGGGACTCATACAGCTCTTATCACAATCCACCCATCCATCCATTGTGTCAGGTGCATCTGTACATATATTGCCATCATCATTTTCAAAGCATTTTCTTTCTACTTGTACCTTTCAGCTCATTTCCCCCCTCCCCCACCCTCCCTTCCTCATGAACCGTTGATAATTTATAATTTGCTTTCATGTCTTACACCGACCGATGTCTCCTTTCACCCACTTTTCTGTTGTTTGTCCCCCTGGTGGGGGGTTATATGTAGATCATTGTGATTGGTTCCCCTTTCTCCCCCCACCTTCCCCTTATCCTCCTGGTATCACTACTTTCAGTATTGATCCTGAGGGGTTTATCTGTCCTGCATTCCCTGAGTTTCAGCTCTTATCTGTACCAGTGTCCATGTTCTGGTCTAGCTGGATATGTAAGGTAGAACTGGAGTCACGATAATGGGAGTGTGTGGAAGCATTAAAGAACTAGAGGAAAGTTGTACGTTTCATTGGGAACCCATTTTTAAAAGACAAAACGGAGCAAACAAAACAACTAACAACAACCCACTGACAATGCATTAACTCAGGTGACAGAGTAGAACTACCCTATTCGAGTTTCATGGCCTGTGATCCCCCCCACCTTTTTTTTATATCATTTTATTGGGGGCTCACACAACTTTTATCACAATCCATACATACATCAATTGTGTAAGGTACATTTATACATTCATTGCCCTCATCATTCTCAAAACATTTACTCCCCTCTTAAGCCCTTGGCATCAGCTCCTCATTTTCCCCCCACCCTCCTGAACCCTTGATAATTTATAAATTATTATTCTGTCATATCTTACACTGTCCGATGTCTCCCTTAACCCACTTTTCTGTTGTCCATCCCCCAGGGAGGAGGTTATATGTAGAACCTTGTAATCGGTTCCCCCTTCCCACCCCACCCTCCCTCCACCCTCCTGGTATCACCACTCTCAGCACTGGTCCTGAAGGGATCAGCTGTCCTGGATTACCTGTGTTTTCATTTCCTATCTGTACCAGTGTACAGATTTGTAAGGTAGAATTGGGATCATGATTGTGGGGGGGGGGGTGAGGAGGAAGCATTTAGGAACTAGAGGAAAGTTGTAGGTTTTATCACTGCTACAGTGCACCCTGACTGGCTCCTCTCCTCCGCGCAACCCTTTTGTATGGGGATGTCCAGTTGCCCACAGATGGGTCTTGGGTCCCCAATCTGCACTCCCCCCTCAATCACTATGACCTTTACAGCAGCAAATTGCCAGCACTTCCATTAGCAGCACCACTCAGTGGAGTCTAACCACAAACTTTTAGGTTAGTAGCCAAGTGCACACCATTTCTATCACCCAGGGATTTAAAATGGAACCAAGTCTGATTATTTCAAAGTTGGGGTATTTTCTTTTACATCTCCCTATCCCAGTGTTAAAGTAACCTTGTGAAAATAGTCAGTTACCTAGGGAAATTCAAAGGTAATAATGAACTTTGGGGGAGCAGTAAATAAAGCTGGCTTCATGCATTTTGTTGCTTATTCACTCTCCAGGGGATGGATCTGAAAATGACCACTGAACTCATCCGTCTTAGGTTTGGATCTGACAAGTCATGGTAATGCTGAAATAATGCAGCCAAACCTGATGTGTACTGATGGTCTACTCTGCATTTCCTTCCCTGTCTTTCAATTAGCTCACTGCCATCAATTCGATTCTGACTCATAGTGGCCCTACAGGCTAGGGAAGAGCTGCCCCTGTGGGTTTCGGAGACTGTTACTCTTTTCAGGAATAGAAAGCCTCATCTTTCTCCCACCGAGTGGCTTCTAATTTCTAACTGTCGACCTTGTGGTTAGCAGCCCAACACATAACCACTCTATCACCGTCACTGACTTCATGATCATAATAGTATTGATACATAGATTATTCAAATTCAAATGGAAACCTAGGGTTCTCACTGAACCATACAGAGACACCCATGTTTATAAACTTTTAGGATATAACTTACCTATTTTCCTTTCTCTCAGTTGCCCAGACAAGAGCGATGTTGTTGTTCGGTTCCATGGAGTCGGCTCTGACCCATAGTCACCCTATGCACAACCGAACAAAACACAGCCCGGTCCTGCGCCCTCCTCATAATTGTTCCTGTACCTGAGCTCACCGATGCAGCCACTGTGTCCATCCATCTCATTGAGGACCTTCCTCTTTGTAGGCCGGTCTTCCATGTTACCAGACATGATGCCTTTCTCCAGGGACTGATCTCTCCTGAAAATATGTTCCAAGTTGTAAGAGGAAGTCTTGCCATCCTTGCCTCTAAGAAGCACTCTCACCTTACTTCTTCCTATGCAGCAGTGAATGGTATTTTCAATATGGCTCTCCAGCTCCACAATTCAAATGCATCTATTCTTCTTTGGTCCTCCTTACTCAATGTCCGACTTTCACATGCATGCGATTCAGTGAAGAGTATCATGGCTTGGGTTAGGCACACCTTAGCCCTCAAAGTAACATCCATGCTCTTCAATACACTTAAGAGATCTTGTGCAGCAGATCTACCTAATGCAATACGTCTTTTGATCTCTTGACTGCTGCTACCGTGAGCTTTGATTGTGCAACCAAGGAAAACAAAATCTTTGACAACTTCAACCTTTTCTTCATTTATCAGGATGTTACCTACTGATCCAGTTGGGAGGATTTTGAGTTATAATCCAAACTGAAGGCTACAATCCTTGATCTTCATTAGCAAGTGCTTCAATTCCTCCTCACTTTCAGCAAGCAAGGTTGTGGCATTGGAAGACCTCAGGTCGTTAAGCAGCCTTCCTCCAACCCTGATGTTGCACTCTTCTGCATACAATCCAGCTTTTCTGATGATTTGACAACGATAAGGGAAACAGTTATTAACAGCTCTCTGTACCTGGGGCGTGAAAATGCTTAAGAACTTGGCTACCATCTCAGATGCTGGTGATTCAGGTCTACCCAGAGGCGACTCCAAGGAAAGTCTTCAAAATTTACTTCCAAAAGATCACCGAAACTCCAACTCTCTGCCATGGAGTTGATCCCCACCATTGACAGCGCTATGGAGCCCAGTTCTACTGTGACCCACGAGGTCAGCTAAAGTCAGAATTGAGTAGACAGCAACTTCAAAGCTGACTGCTAGAGTCAGAACTATTTTAAGTGTCAAAACATGGTGTGGTGATTAGATGTTATGTCAACTTGATGGTACCTGTGTGGAGATAGGGGCGGAATCCAGCCTATCAGTCAAGTGGTAGCCTGATGGCACTTCCTTGTTGGCGTGGCCTCTTGCACACCAGTGAAAGACACTAGGAATTGCTTCTTTTTGCCCCAGTGCCTTCTTGCTTGCTGGGACTCTGCCTGCCTCCAGAGGTGACTCCATGTGGGCCACCAGACTGTGATAGCTGTTGGTACACTGCTATCCTTCCACTAATCATGGATCCATGTGACTGCACCCACTGGCCTGTGCCTGCTTCCTGCTTCACCTTTCTGTGTCACCTTTCAACCTGCAGCTATGTGCATCTGAAGAGGGTCCCAGCTAGCATCAATCGGCTCTATGGACTTGAGTTGGGCTGAGCTGGGGTGCCTTGGTGTAAAGTTGCTTCTTGACACAAAGTTCTTTCTTGCACCTGAATAAATGTCACCAGTCTGTTACACAAGACAAACCAGCCAAACACAAGTCATATGCACCACCTTCTAGAATATCCACAGGGGACATACCCAAAGATTCCTATGGCTCTCTTTAGAAACCAATGCATCCATTTGTGGCCATGGGAGAAAACTCCAGGGCGTCTTTCAAGTGAGAGAAGGTTTCAAAGATAGTATGGAGGCCTACACAGAGCAGGTCAAATGATAAAAGGGAATCTTTTCCAATTTCCTTTTATTACTCGGCTCTGCTCATACCTCCTCCTGGCCAGGTTTAATGACCTGCCACTCCCCTTACACTGCATCCTTTGTGTAGCCGCCACAGCAATTCATCCAGACCCCAAGATTCCTGAGGGCCAAGCTGTGTATCATTCATCCTCCAGTGGGCCCTGCATCTTGCATAGTGCTTGCCACTTGGCGGGCATGCAAACGTATTTCTTCAACAGTTGAGCTGCACATTCCTGATTGCCAGGGAAAAGGAAGACACAGAACACAGCCCCACACCAGCCTCTTCATGGGTGGTTCTTTGTTCTGTGTAGATTATCTATCTGTAGTGGATCATGTTCCTTGGTCAGATTTTTTAAAAAATACGCAACCTTTACACATTAGTTCCCACATCATCATCATTATGATTCAATTTAAGGTAGGGGACTGTCCTTCAGGGATTTTGAAAAATACTAAAACTTACTAATTAGGAATTAATGGAAGCTATGCTGTTTGGGCTACCACCCCTCTGTCTTTACCATGTTGCTGTGATGCTGGAAACTAAACCACTGGTACTTCCAATACCAGGAGGGTCACCCATGGTGGATGGGTTTCAGTGGTGCCTCCAGACCAGGGCAGACTAGGAAGAAAGGCCCAGTGATACACTTCCAAATACCAGCCGATAAAATCGTATAGCTCATAATACGATACTGGATGACCTGTTCGCTTTAAGCACACCAACAAGAGGGAACAATTG